TCATACAATGATGCAAAACAATGCAACTGGTATATTCATTAGCAACTCGATTGACTTTCCAATTGTTTGACCAGATCTTCTTTCTTCATCGTCGAGTATTTCTTTAACTTCTGTAATCTTGCAATGTCCCTCAAATCGCACTTCATTTTCATCAAGTTACTTGGATCAGAAGGCAGGGGTGAATCTCTGATTTACCATATCTCCTATTTAGGTCCCCATGCAACTTTGAGATGTTCATTTGAACGTGTGAATCTCTGATCTCAACGACAATTGGAACACTAAAAAGCTTTTTACGTCTCTTTTGTGGCAGTGACATTGTATTCTGACTAGCACCAGGCATAATGCTTGTTGGCTCCTCGGCTTTGCGTTGACTATGCTGAACTGTTTTCTTAATTATTTTCCCAGTCAACGAGCAGCTTAAAGTACGGTATTTAACCCTCTTGCCTTTCGGAAAAGGGGAAGAGTTTGAAACATTTTTCTTTGAATTTAAACCAGGTTCTTCAACTTCGGTGGGGGGCCGACTCCACATTCATCGCTACATTCTTTACCATTCCTCTTTGGAGCCTCGTGCACAAGTTTGAAACCAGTTTACCATCACTAGCAACAATTTCAGGCATATGGGCTTCCTCCATTTTTTGTTTTTCTTCCAAAAGATGGGTAGTTTTATCCTCTCCATTTCCATCCTGCAGTTCTACTAGTGAGGTTACGGCGGGATGTTCATTGTCACTCAGAGCAGCTTCTTCTCGTGTAACAACCAGTAAAGAGTCTTTTCTCTTCTCGTCTCCCTTCAATAATGAATTTGAATGCTGATTATTCTTAGTTGAAACTACTTTAGACTTTGATGCCTTGTTTACTTGAAGATTTCACAGCAAAGTCGCATAGCTTTTGCTCCATATCACATTTTAGACATTCTCCCTGTCCGAAGCACCTAAACTAGAATTATAATTGACCATGTCTCAAACTATAAGGATTGATACTTTTAACCAGGCCACTGGCAGAAAATGACATTATAAGCTCGTTGATAGGATGTAGTTTAAGTTAGATTCAAATAAATGTCTCAAATTGGTAATTGAAATTCTCCTATGAAAACAACATCTAGCTAAAGTCGTGGATTTCCCCCCTAGAATTGGCAATTACTCAAATACAAAAAATCCATGAGAGAGCAAGACCTGATTGTACCTTATCCGCTTTCTGAATATTCTTTCATGTTCAGGATTCAAACATGAATTTGACATATTACTTTTTCTGATAGTAGTTGTATTACATCCTTCCATTCCCCCTCCATTAACTTTCAGTTCATCTGTGCATATTTTCATCTCATCAGAGTCGCCAGTTGTCGGTTTCTGAGTAATTGAGCCTAAATTTTTGGCAATAATATTTGTAGTCAGCGCATCCTGAAACAAGAACCTAAGTTAGGACAGACCACAACGGCCACCTTAAGTGAGAGTGGTCGTAACAGAATCACCCACTCTTGTACCTTGACACGGCGTGTTAAGCATCAATTTAAAACCAATTGATAGTAAGTGGTGAGGCCCAAATTGACAAGAAATCTAAGACTTCACAGATGTAGGCCAATTTCACCAAGCACTCCCTCTCATGTGTAGCTCAATAATGCTTTCACATGGACCACCTCAGATGGAGTCAGGTATCAACAACAGCACATATTTGGGATATTCTGCATCGAAACTAAAACTATTTGGCAGCAGGTAGAGAGACCCAACTTGAGTATAAGGCCACAAGAAACCCAAAACTTAGTAGATCTGAGATAAGATCACTTAGCAAAGGTATCTAAAGAGTAAAGACGCATCAAATTTTAGCTCTAACATGTATCAGATAGCTGGTCATGCCTTCACTTGATTGGCAAGATCTTCTGTCATCCCAATAGGCGCAAAACTTAATAGATGTGGGACAACATCACTTTAACAAAAGATATCTAAAGATGCAGCACATTTTGGTTCCAACATGAATTAGATAACTGGCCATACCTTCACTTTCTAGCTAAGATCTGCTGTTATGCACATTGAATTTGATGATGAATCCAGGATTAACATATCTGCGGAAGATATAGAAGTGTGCATTGTTGCTTCCTCACTCATGATTTTCAAACTAGAAGAATTTAACTTTTTCTTCTTGTTCAGGTTGTCAGCTGAATGTTATTCACACACTGTGCCGCTGCATCCTGTTGAAGAGAAGCATATTTAATTTAATTTACATGCAACACCAGAATCTATAATGCAACAGAGAAAATGATATATATAAGTGAAAAAGAAAGAGTATATTGATTGAAATGATGGAATGCTTAAAGTTAGGAAGGGTAGAAAGCTGCAAAAGAGCATTTCATTACGCATTCTCTGTAGTTTAAATCACAATTAAGTCAATTTTTTCTCCCAGAGTATCATGAATGCAAACCATTTAGTTGATTGTAACATGTGAGAACTCATAAGGTCCAACTTATCTTTTAGTGTAGGCAAGCTCGAACAGCCTATTTGTTATCTGTACAAGTCGTGCAAAATTAAAAGAAGAAGAAGCTAAATGTATGTTAAAAAACTTCCGTCGAGCTGAACTAGTTACAAGTGAATTGATATTCACTGAAATTACCTTCTACATCTAGCAGAAGGTTTATAAAACACCTCTACGTAAGTCTATTAAAGGTTCTCCGTTCTGTTTCCAATCAAAATGTCTAAGGTAGCAGAAAAATCCAACAGGATTTCAACTCTGAGATATCTAGACAGTACTAAACCTACATTTAGAACAAACATGAAACAACACGGACCAGCTAAGCATTTGGTGAAAATAGCTTAAATTGCAGAAGCAAGAAACATATATACTACACAAATTTGGCTGAAATTGCGGAGTTAGGGGAAACAATCTGTAAACTCAACGTGAGGACATAATCTTCTGGTATTGTCCCTTTAAATTTCAGTGTTGAATCATGTTCATGGCAAGTTAGTAAAAGAACATGAAAAATATCCAATAGTCAAACCTGCTCATTTTTCTCATGACAAACTTTTGAGCAGTGCCTTCATTATTTCATGCAACTTCTCAGCAGGTTCTGTATGCATCAATAAGTAAACCTCAATGTCATTCTCATCCTTATCCTTGTTCCCCAATTTCTTTATTGAAATCTCAAGGCATTACAGCAGATGTCATGCCATTCTTCATGTTCATCCCAGACCAGTTCACTTTGGAGCAACACCAAATCTTTTTCAAGTTCATCAATGTATCTGCTTTTGCAATCAATATACTCAGCACTTGAACACAAGATTTCTCGTTCAAGACATTTTCTTCAATCATATCTGTAAAATAACAAAGCACTGCATAACCATGCTAATAACAAAAGCCAGGAAACACTACACCAATCAAACCTTAAGCATGCCTTGAATCTCTTTTTTGAGCTCATCTCTCTTGAAATTTAACTCGTCGAAGTATGTCCCATGCACATTAAAGATCTTCTTCGTTTTCTTGATGGATCCTTCAAGTCGAATAACCTTTCCTTCCAATGATGACAAGATATCCCTCAAACAATCCTTCTTTTACTCATCCGTATGAGTCTTCATAACTCATGTGCAATAATCTCATTTTTTGTGTGTGCCATAACTCGGATACCACTTATCACAAAATTAGAGTTGAAATTAGTAATCTGTATAGTCTTAGGCACAAAAGCATGAATTAGATGCCTAAGTCAACCTCTAGCCTAAATAAACAAAACCTAAAACTCCTTAAACGATTTGAGAAAGACACAACATATTAAATGGGTGAAATTAAAATAAAATAAGACTTACATGAAAAAACAACAAAAGAAATTTTTGAATCAATACTCAAATTTATCTTATGTATTTATAATCGACCATATCAGTTGAGATGGCTAATTCAAATAATTTTTACTTAAAACAGAAAAACCCTCGAACTCTAAGATAATTTTTATTTGTTTGTTATTATTTTTTCTAAAATCAAGTAAATTTTGATTATTTTTTCTTAAGAATAAACGTCATGTCTTTTTGAGGTGTCGAGAAAACGTCCGTGCCACCGACAGAAACCGTTTGAACAATAGCTGCCGAATACACGTGGCATTCTCTCACAATTCTCGTAAAATCAAATACGAACACCAAGGTGGATGTTATCCACGTATTATCTAGTTTATATGTTTTAAAAAAATTAATTAATTAATTAGTTAATCGTGTTTTTAGATAAAGTAATCCAAAAGGAAAGGAGCATAGTTAAAAAGTTGTCTTAAAAGTCTTAACCTTTCTTCTTCTTTTGTTTTCAATTTGTTTTTATTTTTCATTAATATAATAAATTTCTTATTTTATTTTATTATTATTTTAAATAATGAAACAATATCCGTTAATAGTGGATCTTACTATTTTTTTCATTAAAAAAATAATAAAATCATAGGAAAATGCTGGAAATTAATCAAAAAAATTAGGGGAGATCAAAATGTGCAAATTTAAAAGATATAAATAAATAAATGTTGTTGGGGGCATGTTTATGATTTTGAAAGATGAACAACATATACTATTATGGTAGGTAAAATAGGGGGGAATCACTACAAAAGGGGGAAAATACATAATCTATTGATATTAATATTAAAAAGAAATGAAATCACACACTTTTTTATATATATATAAATAAGGGTAAACTACATGTTTAGTACCTCAACTATCACTTTGTTCCGTTTTGGTCGTAATTATCTTTAATTTCAAAATCATATATAACATTACGTTTTGATTTCATTTTGATCACCTACTGTTAAAAAATTAATGTTGATGTTGACGTGTTACAATAAACTAACATCATGTCATCATTTATTTTTTTAAATATATCAAATCAGTATCAAAACGTAACATTAAGTATATTTTTTTATAAAACTTTTAATTGAGTGATTAAAACAGAACAAAATAAAAGTTGGGATACTAAATATGTAGTTTACCCTGAATGTAATTTAAATTTATGATTAAATTAAAAAAATGTTAAAACTTAAAAGACATGTATATAAAATAATTCCAAAATTCCCAGTGAAGGCTGTGAAGCTGACAGCTTATTCAGTTCTTTATTACATCTTCTTCATCGAGTTCATAGAAGAACAGATCCAACCCTCTTTTCTTCTGATTTCGAAATCTCCAAAAATGTCATCAACCCAGCAACCATCATCATCTTCATCATCAAAAAAGCAAACCCTTTTCATATATTCACTCATAATCCTATGGTACTCCTCAAACATCGGAGTCCTCCTCTTGAACAAGTACTTGCTTTCCAACTACGGTTTCAGATTCCCAATATTCTTAACAATGTGTCATATGTCAGCTTGTGCTTTCTTCAGCTATATCTCCATTGTCTTCATCAGGCTCGTCCCTCTCCAACCGATCAAATCCAGGCCTCAGTTCCTAAAGATTGCAACTTTGAGTGTCGTCTTTTGTTGTTCGGTCGTCGGAGGCAACGTTTCTTTGAGGTATCTCCCGGTTTCATTCAACCAGGGTGTCGGTGCCACGACGCCATTTTTCACTGCCTTGTTTGCATACTTGATGACTTTCAAGAGGGAGGCTTGGGTTACTTATGCTGCTCTTGTGCCTGTTGTTGCTGGGCTTGTCATTGCCAGTGGGGTATGTTCTTTTTTTTTCTTCTTTCAGCTCTTTGGGATCTTTGATTGATACAAAAAGAATAAAGTTTTATATTATTTTATATTTGTTTTTAGATTCATTACATGATTTTGATTTTGTGTAATGTGTATGTGTGGTGACCAAGACGATAGATCTGAGATTGCTTTGATGTTATTTGTGCATGATAACTTGTATGCTTTGATCTTAGTTGTAATTGTATGACAAAAATTTAATGGATGAAAACATATTATCAATAAAAAATACGAATAAAATACTTAAATTAGAGAATTAGAAATTATCGATAGGTGACCGTCCCGCCAGCCCTTTTCGGTCAATCCATGTGAGAGAACAACAATGTTGCTCGGACTTTGTTTTTCCTGAAATACCCTGTCCCGGACACTCGTATTTACACATGGATTTTAGGATACAAATACAACTTACAAGGAATCTTTAAATACATGGTAAAAATTTTAAAAATTCTAGCCATATTCCTAACGGATACATTCCCATACTTGATGCTTGTAGTCGAGACCGAGTAACATAGAAACTGGGAATGCATTATATCAGTCAATTTTTTGGAGAAAAAATCTCTCCTTTTTTTCATTAATTAGCCAGATTGTGCTTAATTAAGTAATTAGTTTGCAGAAGCCGAAACCTCGATCCCAATAAAGTTTTGTAGCATTTCAACTTTGTTGTCTTTTCGGGTATGTTATTTGGACTTGGATACAGTGGAGTGTGGGATACGGGTATGTGTCTAACATACGTGTTTTCATTTTTTTTCTAAGTTTTTCGACGTATTTTGAGGATGCCGCCGGCGATAGGTACCTATAGGGAAAAGAGGAGTCGAATGAGAAGAACATAACTTTTGGGTTATAAATACTCCAGGACTTTCCTTTTGTTGTAAGTCTTAGAAAAGCCTTACGAAATATGCATTAAGCTGAATCTAGAAGAATGAAATATCTTGATACAATGGAAATTTGAACAAACTGAAGTAACATAGAGGCGGGTTGGCTAGGTTTAAGTTACATGTTCAGTAGCGTAAAACTCGAATATCGGTTTCACTAATTTACTTGTTTTCTTTTAGGATGGTTTATTGAGTCACTTGTGGTGATTAACAATAGATGTGCCAAAACCTTTAAATGTAAAACTTGGCATGCACTGAGCTACTTAGTGATTTTATAAGATGGTAATTTTCTGCAATAATTGTAGTCTAATCAGAACCTAAGCAAATTTATGAGATATTGACTGCATTGTGATTGCAGTGAAGATGCAAATTACCTCCTTTAGAATTGAAGTTGTAGTGTAATTGGTACGAACACACATTTACGTAAGATATTGACTGCAATGTGATTAGCCATATCCGGAGCACATCGTGAGATTCATAGCTTATTTTGGCAAATCGGCTGGAATCTTGGACTTCTAGAAGATGAAACAAAAGAAACTGGCTCGAGATCTCTGACTTGTTCATCGGCAAGGCCCTTTTTTTATGTATAATTGACCTGTTTTAAGTACAACCCTCTCGATCCTCTGACATCCTGGAATGAAAATGACAAAAGGAAAACAGATAAAAGGAAGAAGACGGGACCACTGTGCACTCGCGCTTGTATATGTATAGCATCTCTTTTTAAGCATTCATCATTTGTTAATTGTTATTAACTAGGAAAGAGACACAGAGCTCGATAGCTTTTCTGCAGTTCTAGCCAACCTTTGTCTCTTTCTTTAATTAAAACGAATTTGATTATTGGTGGCAGGAACCGGGTTTTCACTGGTTTGGATTCATTATGTGCATAAGTGCAACTGCTGCAAGGGCCTTCAAATCAGTTCTTCAGTTCTTCAGGGGATTCTGCTTTCTTCAGAAGGGTATAACACTTATGTTTCTTTTTTTTATTATAAGAAACGAGACCTCGTTAAAAAACCCCTTCATAACCGCTGTTGTACAAAAGGAACCTTAGCGGACATTGAAAGGAGGAAAAGAGTGCCCCAAATATTATTCCAAAAAATAAATAAATAAATAAACCTCATACAACAGCAGGCTATTACAAACATCACCCACCAACTTAACCTCAACCCTCCCAACAAACACATCACCCTAACAAAAATTACTAACCAATTACCCTATACCCGACTTAGTCAAACTGTCAGTCTCCCAATTCACAACCCTTTTTAGAAACCTTATAATAACACTATGCTCCAGTATAACACTGACAATTTCCTTAACTAGCTTTGAAAACACGGTAGAACACACTTTCGGAGTCTTAATCCATTTCACTGCAATTGCAGAATCAGTCTCTATAATTAATCGACCTTTACCACAGCACTCTGATTCCACAAACAAAGCTAAACCAACTTGAATGGCCTTCAACTCACCTAAAATAGGCGGACATGGACTAGTAGATGCCGAAAATGAACCCAGAAACTTGCTTTCTTCATTTCTAAGGATTCCACCAATTCCACTGTTTTTCAATCACTTCTCACTGCCCCATTCACATTAATTTTGAAGAAACCCGGGGTGGGGGACTCCACGAGATCGATGAGAGATTTATCTTCATGGACGGATTACTTGAATCAGCCAACTTCGGGTCACCAACAAGGCAATCTAAGAGAACTGGAAAATTAGGAAATTTCGCCAAAAACCACGCAGCCACTCTACATCTAGAAATAAAGAACAAATGTTTAAGATCAAGACTTCCATTCTCGAAAACCACTTGGTTTTGACACTTCCATACTGACCACAAGACAGCTCCCGTAATAAAATTCTAAATAATAGACTTTGGAACTAGGCTTTCCCAAGAAGATAAGAAGACATTAGGATACTTTGGAAGGACCGTGGATAGGTTCCACAACCTTAAGAAACTCACCCATAAGCCCCACACAATAGAACAAGAAAAAAAATGTGAACATCCGTCTCTTGATGCAAACCACAAAGAGGGCATAAAATGTTCTATATCCCACTAACACCACGCTTGATAAGTTCAGATTTAATAGCTAATTTTTATGCAAAACCTGCCACATAAACGCCTCCACTATTGGGGTAACATAACCGATACAAACCAACTTCGACCAAATCTTATCCACAACAGACCCTCATGACAGAAATTTAACGCATGATTTTATCGAATAAACGCCCTCCCCATTCCCCGTCCACACACATTGATCATTCGCATCATTCTGAATACTAGCATTCTTAATAATGACAAAAGCTCCACCCACTGCTCTAATTCTCAGTCCAATAAATTCCTTCGCAACTGAATATCCCAGCACCAACTCCTGTATTAAAAAAAACTCGGAGATTTTTCCCTCTTTATTAACGGAAAGAGAAAACATCCTCGGAAACTTCAATCTAAGAGGGACATTGCAAATCCACCTTTCAAACAAAAAAAATATTCCCCTTTCCTACTCGTAATTGAAAATGATTTCGAAAACAGTGACTAAAAGCATCATTTGCCCAGCAGTTATGAACAACTTCCCTCCAAATCCAAGATGACTTATATAGGGTACCACATTATCCATCAAAATTGATCTATTATCCAAATTATATTTGCAGCACATCAAATTCTTCCACCAGGACTCCTTTTCCATAGCAAACTTCCTGCCCCCTTCCCTAGGAGGCCTCTATTCATAAAGTTTAAATCAATGAGACCCAGACCCCTTGAACTTTAGGTCTACACATAGTCTGACAATTCACCCAATGGATACGATTTTTCTGAGATGAACCCCCATAAGAAGTTTTCCAGAATAGAATTCAGTTTCCTCATAACTTTATTTGACATTTTAAACGACGACATAAAATAAATTGACAAAGTGCTTAAAACTGACTTCACCAACACAACCCTCCCTGCAAGAGATTTGCTTTTCAACCCGTCAATTTCTGGTAACATCTCTAGATTATTAGTTCCCACAAAATAACCAAATTCTTCGTCGAACCAAGGGGAAGTCCAAGATACTCCGTTGGAAAGATTCCATCCGAACATCTAATAGAATCTGCCCACGCTTTGATGCATGACTTATCAACATTAATACCGAAAATTCTGCTCTTAGACAAATTTAGTTGAAGCCCTGAACACAATTCAAAAATAGTCCACTCTCTTCACATTCTTTAGCTGCCCTTCCGAAGCACCACAAAAAATTAACAGATCATCGGCAAACTGCAAATAAGATAATTGGAACTAGGGCTGTAAACGAGCCGAGCTCGACTCGAACTCGAAAAGTTTAAAATTAGGCTCGATTCGACTCAAAAACTCGCGAGCTAAAAATTATCAAGCTCAATTCGAACTTGAAAAGGCTCGAACTCAAAAAAAATTCAGGAGCTCGATTGAAGCTCGATTCAAGCTCGAATTTGAACCTATAAAAATCTTATATTACATTTAAAAATATATTTTTAAAAATTTATAATTATCAATAATGTATTTTTAATATATTTTTAATAATGTAATTTTAAAAAATCTAAAATTATAATATAATTACCTTATATCAAATTCCTCAGACTTCTGAACTGCTTCTTGGGCAGCTTTAACTGCTTGATTATTCAAGCTAAGATTGGAACAAAAACACCTCTAATAATTGAACGTATTAGTGTCAATGGAAACCATGAATGGTGATAGGTATGGCTCATGAATATACTAGTAAAGAGGATGGAGTGAGCGAAGTGAACATCAACTGTCCTTACAAAGAAGGGGTTATGATTATGTGGGTTAAGAGTGCGGGGGCGTAGCCCTCGCGATACGGTACAAGGTTAATTATGTAATTATGTACTAGGTTTTTTTATTATAAATAGAAATGTAACCTAAACTTATGTGACATTGAATAAAACTTCTAGCGCCGTCTAGGCACCGAGGACGTAAGCACATTACCGAACCTCGTTAAAATTCTTGTGTTTTTTTGTTATCTTTGCCTAATTCTTCAACAAATGGTGAGCACAAATGAATAGAATTCATTATTCAACCAGGGAAGTGCTTCCTTCCAAGCAGGGAACTCTCCATGAAGTTACCAGCATGAATGACTCCCATTGTTAGTGTATAAACGTTAGTGTAAAGTTAGTTGTAACTAAAGTTGTTAAGAATTGGTTTAAGTGTTGTTACTAGTTAGTTAAGGGAAGTTGTTAATCAACTGGCATGGTTAATCAGTTGATATAAATGAGCTGCCAAGGCTCTATTCGTGTAAGCAAGATTAATGAAATAAAATGCAGAGCTTTTCTTCCATCTTCTCTACTGTTTCTTCCATACATAATAGTTACATTTATATCATAACATGGTATCAGTCGCTAATTCCTGGTGCTGCTGTGGTGACTTCCTGCTGCCATTCATGAAGTTCAGGTGTTCGTCTTCTACCTTCCTTGCTTCATCGTTCTTTGCTTCTTGATTTGGTACGTATTTTTCTTGAAGTTCAGATTTGTGTTCTTGCTCAATATGGTTGATCTTATGGCTGATCCGACTCGTGAAGAGAATGGTTCACATATCAACTCCCCTATGAGCTGCATTGCCACTCGTGTAAACTCCATTCAGCATATACCCAAACACGATACAGTTAAACTCACTAAGAATATGTATTTGTTGCGGAATCAGATAATGGCCCGGGAGGCGGAGATGGAAACACTAGCTCAAGAATACTGGTGAACACTGAGGAAATGAACATGATTTCAACTAAAGAGGTGTTTTTAACCCGATGAAGACTACTGGTGAGGATGGGTTGGGTACACACTTTTATCAGTGGTTTTGTCACATCGCGGATGAAGATGTTGCTAGATATTATATTGGTTTTATTTGAGGAGATGAGTCCGATGAACTACACCCATATCGTTCTGGCACCCAAGGTAAATTCTCTAAATCAATTTCGACCCATTAGTCTCTGTAATGTCTTTTTCAAAATTATTTTGAAGATGCTTATTAACATGTTTCAATCCTTTTTGCATTTATGTATGGATGAGGCACAAAATGTTTTTGTTCCAGGCTGGTTGATTGTATATGATACCTGTGAAATATTGCACCCGTCATAGAGAAAGAGAAGAGGGACGGGCATGCCCAATTTAGATATGATCTAAGCATGTGATGGAGTGCAATAAGCGATTGTACGGGCAAAAGATGAGATCGTTTTTTCCAGCTGGATCAATTTCATTTACAGATGTGTTTGCTCCATACCATACTCGATCGATTTTCAGTATCTAATTCATTTATTTATCACATTCAGATATGCACCTTCACTTCATTTATTTACCTACCCCTCGATCCCATTGGGACAAAAATATGGGAAGAAAATGTGTGCACATTTGTAAAACGATGGTTCTTTCACGTTTCAATTGTTTGCTTCTCTACTTTTTTCTAGCTCATATGATTATACATTGGCTGCTTATAGTTTATTTACATTTACCCTGAAAATCTAATACAAAATAAAAAGGTTTATTCATCAAGAATTAGATGCAAAATGATTGAATATAGTCTCCAGAGTTGATTGGCTGATACTGTACTCAGCAATGCCCCATTCATTCCTGATGTAAAAAAGATATATCAAAATCCAGTGCAAAACTCCCTGTATAAGATCGTAATAAGGTACAAATTAATAAGAAAATGAAAAATCATGGATGAGAAAACCGGTTGAATCGTTTGAGCCTCTGCTACTGGTTCTACCGGACAGTTCAAAATCATTAACAGATTAATTAGGAAAAGTAATATATACAGAAGGGCAAAGATAAAACGAACACATAAAAAAAGCCCATTCTACCAAAAAATAATAATGAAAAACTCCAATTTTTATGTTAAAAAGTAAATAATAATAATAATTCGGTTTTACTGGCTACCGATTTTCAGTTGTTACTTGTTCCAGCCAGTGCGTAATTCTCTGGTTTAAGTTATATATATGTTGAACTGCCGGAGCAGCTGGTTTAAGTTGAACCGGTCAATACTATCGACTTTTACGAGCATAGGAAATGGAAAAAGGGAAATGGAAAAAGGGAAATGGTGGTGCGAGAGATGCTTACCTGTTTCTCTCCAAGTGTCCAAATACATCTGCTAACGAGAGACCTTCTCTATATGGTAACTGAAACAAACAAAAAAATCACTGAATCAGTTACTGTCACTTAACTAGAAATCACAAAGCAGCAATGTAATAAATGAACCATTGGTTGTATCGGTATGCATGTGATACGAGTAAACGATCAAACACAGAAAATTCATCAAAAAACCAGAAGCGTTTTCTTTAGCATACGTAGCTGAAAGTAACTATGAATTTTACCTGATATTTAACACTCAATCCATTGCACCCATGGAAAGTTGCACCAGGGAATGAAGCGTGTATAAATGAATCAATGGCTGAAAACTTCTCACGAGCTAACCACCACTCAGAAAATATTGGCAATGGT